AGTAAATGTGTGTGCACATGTATGGACGAGTGTGTGCATACATGCATAAGTGTGAATGTGTGTGTACATGTGTGGGGGTGTGTGCATGTATGGGTGAGCATGTGCATGAGTGTGTGTGCAGGTGTGTGAGTGCATGTGTGTGTATGGATGAGTGTGTGCATACATGCATGAGTGTGCAAATGTGTGTACGTGTGTGTATGGGTGTATGCATGAGTGTGCAAGCATGTGAGTGCATGTGTGTGTAAATGTGTGTGCACACATGCATGGGTGTGTGCATTCATGCATGAGTGTGTGTGTGCATGTGTATGTGAGTGTACGTGTGCAAATATGGGTGTGTGCATGAGTGTGTGTGCAGGTGTGGGTGAGTGTGCATGTGTAAGTGTATGTATGGGTATGTGCATATACACATGAGTGTGCATGTGTGGGTATGTACATGTGTGCATGTATGGGTGTGTGCATGTAGGCATGAGTATGTGTGTGCATGAGTGCATGTGAATGTGAGTGCATGTGTGGGTGAGTGTGCAAGCATGTGTACTTAAGTGTGTGTGTGAACCTCTCTGAGCAGCTCTGCCAAGATGTCCTGAACACTTCCAAGCACAAGGAGAGACTGGATTGGCATGTCCCGTCCACGGGAGCCTGGGAGCCAGGAAAACAAAGCTAATTCCTTCTGAGTTGGACAGCAGCCGCGTGCTCATGAGTGAACATGCTCTCTTTGTCATGTTGCCAGTGATCTAGCCTGTGTCCTATCCCACCCTGGGTGTAACTCCAGCAGGCCATGGGGAGGGGATGGCACAGCAGGGCATCACCCCAAGGCTGGTCCTGGGGAGACCACACCAGAACCTGTTATGGAGAGATGAGCCACGCATTCTGGCTGGGAGGGAGGCAGTGACTGCTGTTTTTCAGGGCACGGCTTACATACAAACCTTTTCAAGGCACAGAAAAATGCACTCACGCAAAATCCCATGAGAAAGGCTAATCCTGGACACATAAAAAAGAGGGGGAGAGAGTTTGAGCCCCTGCTGAGTGACAGTGCTGGGGAGCATCATTATTGCCAGGCTGCTTCTGAACCTAATGGGGTCATTGAAAGGTGGGGGGGCTCCTCCCAAGGCATCAAATGCATCCGATTATGCAGGCAGCGAGGTGCCCCTGTGTGGCAATCTGGAGAAAGCTTGGGAAACTGCCTCCACTCTGAGCCTGGGGCGGCTGGGAGAGAAACCTGCATACTGAATCCCTGGGGCTTCCCAGAGGAGGATCCAGGCCTCGCGGAGGGTGGGACCTGCCCACAGACTCAGAAAGCAGATCGTTACTTTACCCAAAAATAATAAACATGCTGCAGATGGAAAGATCTGTGTGAAGTCTATCTTAAGGGCAATAGATCAGCGGCTGGTCAACACCAGCTGGAGCTCCCGGGAGTCAATTAGCCGGCAAGCAAGCGTATTTCTAGATGAAAACATTAAACTCTCCAGTGGACCGCGGAGATTCAGGAGGAGTGTGGCCACAGCGTCCTGAAAAATGCAATCAAATCCACAGTAACACTGGATGATATTCAGGAGCTGCCTTAAAACACAGCAGTGCCTGGGGTGCAAGGCTTTCGGAGAGGCGCACACAGGGAAGCGAAAGGAAGGGACTGGCCTCAAAGACGCTCTGATCACACAGAACATTTCTTAGGCACAAACATCCGTGGGCACCAGCTCTGGGGCACACACGCGAATGGATGTAGGGGGCGCTCACAAGCAGCACCGAGGTGGCGCCTGCCTTCTGAGTGCTTCTATCGAGGCTAGCAGGTGTGGGCCCTGGAAGTCCACGGAAGGCGGGACTCACTGGGGCCTGAATCTTTACTGATGGCCCCCAGCCCTCTCCTTCCCCCACCTGCTCAGCGACCCACAGGGGCACAGCACTGCCACGATGGGATCACAGGGAACCTTCACAAATGCATAACCTCATGCTTTCAGACCCACTGATGTCTGACTATATTCCCAGATGCCCAAAAGAGTCAGCCCCTACAGAAACGCACTGGCAGGTGGCACAGAAGCCAGACCCACAAGAAACCCAGGCCAGAGAGGGGCTGGGTAACGGCCACCTGACTCGCAGCTCCCTTGGGGAACTCCCAGCTCTCTCGGGTTTCTTCTGAACCTCAAAGTAAGAGTGGCCACCTTCCTTCTGCACAGGAGATCTGCGTTCAACCCCAGTTCTACCTCTATCTCCCTGCGGGCTTTTGCACACAGCCCCAGCTGTGCACCTGCTCACCAGTCATCTGGGGGAAACTGGATGGGATGATGGCTCGAGCCCCTTCTCCACCCGGACACAGCCGCTCCAGACCTCCCATCTCGAGATTCCCAGTTCTTCCTCCAATGCCTTTACTAATTAATTCTTGCCGTCTAACCACGTCTGGCTTGTGCCTTTTCTTCCTCACTGGATGGTGAGTTTCTCAAGGCAGGCCCCACTTCTGTGCCTCTCCTTGCACCCTGGTCCCTGCAGGCAGCCATGGGCATAAGAGCAAGAAAGGATTTGAGGTGCTAGAATGCAGACGTAGCATGGAGGGTCGTCCAAGGGGAGCAGCGGGAGAGTGTGCAGGGCCCACCAGACAGTGTGAAGGAAGCGACGTGCAGGGCTAGTCAGTGGAGGCACAGGGTGCAGGCTTCAGCGGCTGGTCAGGGCTGCATGATGCCCAGTGGGATGCCATGGCACAGGTGCATAGATGGTTCCCAGCCAATTGCCACGGCTGCCCACAGGGAGCAGGGTGTGAGGAAGGGCACAGAAGTGAGGCCTGTCTTGAGGAACTCACCATCTGGTGAGGAAGAAAAGGCACAAACCGGTCACGGCTAGACGGCCCTTGGGGAAGGGAGGGAGGGCTGGGGAATCAGGGAGAAGAGGGTTCTTCCAGACCATGGGGAAAAGGCCATCCTAGACAGAGGCACAGGAGGCCACGCAGACAGAGGGGACAGAGCATGCCACTCCTCTGCAGGACTATTTTGTGCTGAAGCCAAATAAGAATCGATGGATGCAAGAAGAGTTCTCTTACCTCCCGCTTTCTGCCTAAAAGCAGGGCATTACCCCCTCCTCCCACCCCACCCTCCCGCCTCTGCTTCTCTATCAGAATTTGGGGAGTGCCCCTTATCACCTGAGAGGGAGGCCAGCCCGAAGAATCTGCATCAACAGACTTTGCCAAGATAACCTTAATCTTCCATTTGTTCCCCCGTGGAGTCACTTGCCTACCATCTGTCACCCCTCGAAGCCCAAACCCTCTTTTCCTTGGTCTAGCCACTTCTCCAAATCCTATTGCTTGTTAAAATGGTATATATGCTCCCGAGCCTAAGCACTTCTTTTGGTTTTTACTTCTTGGCTGTGAAGCCCCCGTGCATAGAAGATTAAAAGTGTTAAAATCATATGCCTCTTCTCTTGTGAATCTGTTTTTTGTCAGTTCACTTTGGAGGCCCCAGATGCTCAACCCCCTGAGGGTAGAGCATTGTTTCTCCACTGCACAGGAACCTGAGCCCGGTCCACTGCAGGCAGCGCTGCATGGATCCACCCCACAGCCAGTGATCTTGCACAGCTGATTAGTGGGCATCGAGCAAGATCTGGGCATCAAGACGACGCTGAGCTGGGAGCAGGGATGTTCTCCTGAACAAGGCTGGCCGGAACTGGACCCAGAGGGGTGGGCAGCTCTCAGCTCCTGGAACCAGCACCCCTCCCTACTGGAAGGGCCCTGGGGAGGCCGGTGGGCTCCAGGTCTCTCCTCCAACTCCACGGATGCACACCTTGGAGGAGTTGGTTCCTCTGCCAACCCCAACCTCAGTCCTCATGCTCCTGGACCCTGAGTGAGTTGGAGGAGGACCAGCTCCTAAACCAACGATATTCTCCAGTCAGGGCCCTTGGCTCCTCTGCAGCAGCTGGGCTGGTCACGGTGTCACAAGGCAGTGGCAGGGCGACCCACCAGTGACCCCAAGCCGGGATCAGCCCATAGGCAGGGACCGCGTGGTGAGGTGTGAACTGGCACCCCTCTGGTTCACACCATTGAGATCCCCAGGCTAGACCCGTGCCCAGCACTCAGTACAAATCTGTATGCTGGATGGATAGAAGGAGGACGGAGCCTTGGAACACCACTGAGGCAGCGTCAGTTGGCATCTGGGTGCCCTGTGTGTCGGCCAGCATCTGGGTGCCCTGTGGATACTACCCTGTCCTACATCTGGGAAAGAAACCAGCCCCCAGCGCCATGCAATACACTTTCCTTTGCACAGGAACCCAGCCACATCTGTGGGCCCATCCGCAGGCGGCTCTGTGGAGGGGGAGCTTGGCCATCGCCCCATCTCACATGAATCTGCAGGGAGGGGGTTCCAGAGTGAGCTGGGGTGGCTGCAGCCCCCACCGCAGAGCTCCAATCATGCCGGTCCTGGCTGAGCAAGAGCAGTGGCTGCTGGCTGTTGCCTGTCTGGAGTTTTGGAGATGTGGCTGCCAAGCCGGGGATGCTATGAAAGCTTCGTGCTCCAGGGGCCAGCCAAGCCCCCACCCCACCCCGCTTCCTGCCACGGCCCTTGCCATGGAACAAGACCCGCCTCTTCTGGGCGCCCAAATCCCTGACCGTGAAAAGCAACGTGGCAGAGACTCTTACCGTGTGGCCCAGTCTGATGCGTACTGCCCTCAGAGGTCACCTGGCCACACAGAACAATAACAACCTCCTCCCACATAGCTGACCTGAACCCTTCTCCTCCAAAGGCTGGCCTCAGTGCTCCCATCTCCTCCCCAGGCAAGCATCCCCACCGGCTTGGCTCTGGCCCCCACAAAGGCTGCCGCCGTCTGCCCCTGCATCCTGCTGCCTGACCTCACCTATCCTGCACCTTCCCAGCTTCCCAGGGGTACTGAGCGCCCATAAGAACCTCCAGGTCCAAGGCCAGGACTTACTGTCCTGGGCTCTTTCCCGCCTTTCCTGAGCACTGCTGCAAAACCACCAGGCACTGCACAAGACATCCCCAAACGCCTCCCTGTGGAGTAGCCTGGGAAGCATCCCTAGCCACCGCGCTCTGACATTACAAACCACCTTCCCACAGGACCAGACCCTGCCCTGCATCCACCCGCAGTAACACCCACAAGGTCCTCACTCTGCCCCAGACAGCAGGCGGGTTCCTGACATGAACAACTGTGAACACCCACACGCAGCCCTTGTTTCTCCCACCCACAACCCAGCCATTCAGGAATCAGTTCTTAGTCCTTCTGCACTCAAATCCACATTCATTTCAACAGCAGGAAGAAGAGAGAACTCTCATCCCCACCGGACACCAGGAGGCCGCAGTACGCGGAGCGCCCACCAGGTGTCAGAAGGAAATCGCGGCGTCTGGGGGGCGGCTGTCCCTCCATCTCCTCCGGCGGCCAGGGATACCGAGGACACCTCTGAGCCTGCGAGCCAGGTGCAACCCACACCAAGTAAGTTCCCAAACCCAGCAAGGAGGGCGGCCGTTTCCGCATAGTATGGCTGCCCGGCCGCCAGGAGTGGGAAAGGCCCCGGAGCCATCCGCTGTGTTTACTGCGGCTGCTGCCATTTGCTGGACAACTGCAGCTCCCGGGGCCACCGTCTGGGCTGAGCACTGGCAGGCTCCCTGGGCCCTGAGGGACCCCACTCTCCCCATAGCCACAGCCAGCCCCAGAAACATCTGAACAGGGCTGGTGTGAGGAGTGCCTGGGTGAGGAGGGGATTTGAAGACACAAGTCTCTGTGTCACCTCCACGGGCAGGGACAGCTCGGGTCACAGTGTGGAGAGGAGGCATGGGCAGCCTCACAGTTCATGTGATCTCAGGAAACACAGTCCACCTCTTACCCTTTCTCCAGGGTCCCCGACTTGGCCAGTAGGACCCATGGTTCCTGGAGGTCCGGGAAGACCCTAGAATTTAAAATAAAGTTGGGGCAGAGTTAAAAGATGGGGCCGCAGGACAAGGTCCGACTTCCACCTGGCCAACCAAGGCAGAGGTGGGGGTGGGAAAGTGCTGGCTCCCAGGGTATCTGCAAAAGTGAAGAGCCCCCCTCTTTTCCATCCAGGAGACATAAGGGGTGTCACCAACCCCACCCCACCAACAGCACCTTCTGCAAGTCACAGGATAAAGCCGGATACTCACCGCGGGGCCTTCTGGGCCGGGCGGGCCCTCGATGAGCATGCCCTGGGGAGACAGAGAGAGGGCGTCTGAGACCGCGGCCCGTCCCTCCCAACACCCCAGACCCCAGTGGTGTGGACGGCCTTCAGCTGCGTGCACAAGGGGCCCTGGCTCAGCTCCTGCTGTCCTGGGGAGTCATGATCACAGACTGCAAAGGGGGCCTGTGGCAGGGCCTCAGTGGCTGTCCTCCTAGCACTGCCAGGCAGAAGAGCAACCTGGGTCAGCGGCCAGCGACAGACACCAGCTCCCTCCAGACCAATGCTACGAGAAGCACCTGAAGACACCGAAGTGAAGAAAAGGAGCCGAGACCACCAGGCTCCCCGCATTGCCCCAAAGGGGAGTGCCAGCCAGGCCACAGCCACTCGAGGGAGGAGGTGGATGTCAGGACAAGGGGCCTAGGGTGGATTTAGGAAGGATGAGGGAAAAATAGGTGTCCCAGCCCCAGGCTGAACTTCTGCCCCCAGCCAGGACCACCGTCAGGCCCTGGGGCTGCAGCCTCTAGACCCTGCCTCCCTCCGGGTAGGAGGTGCGTCCTCCCATGCACACAGCAGCCCAGAACCCACAGGAAACCCTGTCAAGTCCACCTGCCCACTCGGCCCTCCTCCCCCGGCCCTCACCTCACCACACGGGCCGGCTGCCTCAACCACCCCCAGGCCTCACTCTAACCCCAATGGTGACAGGGCCTCCTGGCCCCTGGGTCAGCCTGAGCCCCGGGAAAGGCAACGTGAATGGCTGTGAAGGCAGCAGTGGGAGTGGCTCCCTGCAGGACGGGGCTCCCTGCCCTGAGACCCCCATTTCCCTAGGGCAGGATTCCTCTCCACTTCTAACCTGGCAATGCCAGGGTCAGGCGCCCCCAATGCCCCAAGTGTCCTCTGTGTTCCATGCCGACTTCAGGGTGACTATTCCTCAAGGGACTTGCTCTGACAGATGGGAGCCAGGTGCCATTCAACAAGACAATGGAGAATGACCCCCGAGGCAGCCAGAGATCTTTGAGGCAAGCTAGGACCCGGGGGGCCATGTTTCAAAAGAGGTGCCCAGGAACTCAGCACTCCCTGCCCTGCACCCCTTCAAGTGTCTGCTCCCCACATTGCAACACAGCAACCCTCAGCCGCCCAGGCATGGCTCCAGCAGGCCTAGGCGCGGCTCTGGCTCAGCTCTAGAGGGTGTGGGTGTGGCCTTGGCGGTGCCCACGGGTACTGATGATCCTGCAGCTGCAGGGAAGGCAGGCAGGAATGGCAGCCATGGCGCCCTCCACCTAGAGGTCAAAGGGTGGCACGGACAGCCTGGGGTCCCACGCAGAAACCAGCCACAGGGGCGGAGGCTCTGCAGAGAGTTCCCTAGGATGATGCCTGGTGGAGCTATGGAAGTGGAGCCACCGTTGAGACCCCAGGACTGTAGCATCACCAGAGTACAGCGCCAGCCTGGGAGGGCAGCAAGGACAAGGCTCCAGCTCCTGAGACCTGCTGTGCAAAGCTGTATGAGCAGTGCTGCCTGAGGCCCCGTGGCCGCCTCCACCCAGCGTATCCAGGAGCACTCACTTGGCACACCAAGTGAAAGATTATTCTAGAGTTGTCGGATAGAAGGTGGTTTGTCCTGTTAGGTTTTGAACTTCCTTGGGGCTGCTGCCCCTTTCTTCATGCCTCCCTTTTGGAATGGGAATCTGTCCCCCCTGCCCCCCGCCACGTAGTTTGGAAGCATGAAGCTTGTTTCATTCCCCAGCCTCACAGCTGGACAGGGATGTGCTTCAAGATAGATCATTTAAGCCTGACTCTGATTCGGGTGAGACTCTGGACTTCGGACTTTTGAGTTGATGTGGGTACTGGATGGGGTCAATGTAAACTATGTGAGAAGGACAGGAATTTGGGGGCTGGGGCAGAATGCTAGGGTTTGAATGTGTCTCCCCAAAAGTCATGTGTTGGAAACTGAATGCTCAATGCGACTGTGTTAAGAGGTAGGATCTTCGGCCGGGCGCGGTGGCTCAAGCCTGTAATCCCAGCACTTTGAGAGGCTGAGACGGGCGGATCACGAGGTCAGGAGATCGAGACCATCCTGGCTAACACAGTGAAACCCTGTCTCTACTAAAAAATACAAAAAAAAAAAATTAGCCGGGCGAGGTGGCAGGCGCCTGTGGTCCCAGCTACTCGGGAGGCTGAGGCAGGAGAATGGCGTAAACCTGGGAGGCAGAGCTTGCAGTGAGCTGAGTTCCAGCCACTGCACTCCAGCCTGGGTCACAGAGCGAGACTCTGTCTCAAAAAAAAAAAAAAAAAAAAAAAGAGGTTGGATCTTCAGGAGGAGATTAGGTCACCAGGCTCTGCCCTCCTGGAGGGTGAATGCAGCTATGATGGGAGTGGGTTCGTTAGGGTGGAATGGGCTCTTGATGACAGGATGACAGCAGTCACCTTCTCTCCCGCTCCTTCTCACCACGCAATGCCTTACGCCATGTGAGGACACAGCAAAAAGGCCCTCGCCAGATGTGGTCCTTCTATATGTGACTTCCCGACCTCCAGAACTGTGGACCAATGAAGTCCTCTTCATTCTAAATCACCCTGTCTGTGGTATGCTATTACCGCAGCTCAAAATGGACTAAGACAGCTCACTTCTGATAAGTCAAAGGGTGTGTCCAGCCAGGCCACAGGCCACTGGAGGCTGCTGCCAGAGGTGCTGGGTACCAGGCTGGGGAGGGGACTCCCGGCTGGGGGGCTGAAGATATCCAGCCAGGCCACAGGCCATTGGAGGTTGTCGCCAGAGGTGCTGGGTACCAGGCTGGTGAGGGGACCCCAATCGGGGGGGTCGCAGATCTCCCCACCCCTCCCATCCTGCCCCAGCTAGGGAGCCTCGCACTGTGTTTACACAGATGCACGCTCAGAGAGACACTCGTGTGTGTGCTGTACACACAGAGCTCATCCAAGCAGCCTCCAAGAGCCCAGCTTTCCAATTTCCTTCTCTGACAAAGGCAGCTGAGGAAGCCCAGGGCTGAGCTGGGATTAAGGGAGAAACCACTGGCCATCAAGGCGCCAGGGACAGCAGCTGCCTTCCCAGACACACAAATTGCTTTTCTCAGGGAACTGGGGCAATGCGGGCGGGGACCACACAGGGGAGGCAACCCCAGATCATCCCAGGTCAGCGTCTGAAGGAAGCTGGGAACAGCTGGAACAAAGTGCCTCGGGGAGGGAATGCCTGAACCTTCCCTGGCAAGTTGTGGCTCCGCTCTGGCCCCTGCCCACCCAACCACAGATGCCACTCTCAAAATTCACCCGGCAAAAGAGGAACGAGAGGAAAACGTCTCGATATCATTAATGATAGTGCATTGTAGATGTCATTTGCCGAGAGAGTAGACTTTAGGCACTCTTACCCTAAAGAAGAAAAAGAGGCAGCTACAGGGTGGCAGTGGTGGGTGCAGGATCACGTCACTGTGTCTGTCTGTGCCTGCGTAAGTCTATCAAACATGCTGCGCACCTTCAATGCACACAATTTTTTTTTTTTTTTTGAGATGGAATCTCACTTTGTCACTCAGGCAGGAGTGCAGTGGCACGATCTTGGCTCATTGCGACCTCCACCTCCCGGGTTCAACTGATTCTCCTGCCTCAGCCTCCAGAGTAGCTGGGATTACAGGTGTCCACCACCACGCCTGGTTAATTTTTTTTGCGGTTTTAGTAGAGACGGGGTTTTGTCATGTTGGTCAGGCTGGTCTCGAACTCCTGACCTCAGGTGATCCACCCACCTCGGCCTCCCAAAGTGCTGGGATTACAGGTGTGAGCCACCGCACCTGGCTGAATGCATACAATTTTAACAAAAGAAATAAAAGACCTCAGACCTGGCAGAACTCAAGACAATCTCAAAGGAGGTCCACCCATCTGTTAAACAGCACTTTTTAAAAAACAAAAAACAGCGTCAAGTGGAGATGGTGATTCGGATGCCCCTAACCGACGTGGCCCAGGTAAAATCAGCCCCTGGGGGCCTCCCGGTTGGAAGCCCAGGGATAAAGATGGACCTCTCCGTTCTGTGGATTCCTGTTCTTTTTAGGGAACCTCCGGTTTGGCTGACAATGAGAGGGAGCGGGACTGAGTGGGAAAGACCAGGAACAGATGCATCTCCCAAGAGAGAAGTCAGGTGGGGCAGGTTGCGGGAATGGGAGACAACAGACACCCCCTTCCACAGGCCGGGACGCCTGCAGGGCCCCAGGACCTGGCAATCTGTTTATGTGCAGCTTGGACCCAAGGACATCTGGCGATGCTCCAGGTTGAGAAATTCCAACTGTTTACGTGATCTCTGCAGGGGGCCTGGCCAAAGGCCCCGGGACACTGGGAGCAGGCTGGGGCCCGGGGCAGGGAATCCTTTTTAAGTGATCCAGACGGCTGCTGCTTTTCCCAACAAAGGTGAACTGGACTTTCCGGAGCCGTGAGGTTCCTGTGGGGCCACCTCGACTCTCCGCCCTCTCCTTGACCCACCCTTGCCCACTGCTGGCTTCCCAGGGGCCTGGCAGTGGAACACCTGTGCCCACCCCACACGCCCACCCCCTTTCAGGAGCCCCGACACCACGTCTACACTCACAGAACCAGCTTACTCGGAAATGTGAGCCAACGCGAAGCTCGCTCAAAGATTTCAGTCCGGCTCTCCCAGAGCGGGGAGGGGAAACCGGGATCTCGCAGAGCCAGCCGCACCTGCCCACTCCTGAGCTCCCATCTTCCTCCCATCTTCCTCCCCGAGCAAGGACCGCCTTTCACTGAAGCAATGGGGACAGCACAAAAGAAGCCCAAGGCCAACCTCAAGTCCACCTGCGGGCCAAGACCGTCTGGGGAAATGCGGCAGGATGTCCCACCTCCCAGTAACAAGGGTGGCTCGGGGCTGGGACCTTGGACGCAGCCTCTGCTGTTGTTCACTTTCTGGCCAACACCCTTGGGCAGAGCAGAACAGGCCTGCAGCCCCTGCTTCTGGGTGAGTCCGCCCAGGTGGACGGCTGTCACTCTCCCCCGTAGCCACTCTGCTCCCTGAGCTGAGGCCTGGCTCTGAGGTTGTCCACATTGCTGAGCAGGGGGACCCTGGCCTCAGAGTTTCCCTTCACACCTCTGCACCCCCTTGCCCTGCACCCCATGACCCTTCTGCCTCAGACAAGCTCTGTCTTTCCTGGACTCCCAGAGAGCACTGGAAAGGGGCTCCGGTCTGAGAAAAGGATGTGTCTGTGGGCACTGGCAGGTCCTACCCCCGGGCTGGGCCTGCAGCAGGGGCATGGAGCCCCACGAGAGCCATCCAGACGCTTCCACAGGCCAGGAAGGGGTGAAGCCCTGGACCCTGGGAATTCCACCCCAGAGATGGGACACATCCCGTCTGCCCTGGCCACGGGCTTCAAACAGATTCCAAGGGGATAAATGCCTGCTAAGTGCCATCTGTCAAGGTTCCAACAGAATGTCCCCAGCTCTACAGGAGGGTGGTGGGTCACCATGACTCCACATTCCGGGAACCGCAAGGTCACGGGGCTTCTGGGAGCCCCAAGGTGTATCCTGAGCTCAGCCCTCAGGAACGGAGCCCTGGCAGCAGAACAAACAGCCGCCCCCAGCCTCGCGACTGGCCGTGATGCAGGACGCGCACATCCTCCTGTGGGCACTTGGACAACATGGCAGGGTGGGCCTTGGTGCTGGCTCCTCCCTGCTCTCAGGTCGTGCCTACCACATGCAGCTGCCAGACTCCCTGCCCAGCTGTTCACGGGGCATCTTGCCCGCCGGCAGGGTGGGCGGGATGTCAAGACCTTGACCTTAGCGCCTCTGAGACCCCAGGGAGAAATGCAGGCCTCCCAGCCAGGCCATGACCCCCTGAGGGACAAGGACACCCCAGTGTGGGGCAGGGCCCCCACCAAACACGCCAACCCAGGAGGGGCATCTAGAATGTCCTCCGCTACAGTCCCACACTTGAGGGCATTATCAACAGTAACTTTTTAAACTCACCCATGATCTGATTACCTAACATAGTTGGGTTTTACTCAGCTGGAATTTCGGCACAGTGCTGTTTTATTTCATTATTTCAGCACAGTGCTGTTTTATTTCATTCCCTTGACAAAGTTTCATAAACAGTATTCCATGTTTCAACGGCTTCAGTAAACTTACTCCAAACGGTTGCATAACAGACGCGGAAAGTACAGCCATGTGTTAACTATTCCCTACCACTGCCGCGCGCATCTTTTACAAGGAATGGCCCATTTACATTCTCTCCTCCACCCCTCAAAGGGGACTCCACCTCTGCCTCGAAAGCGCTGAGCTGCTTTTCATCCCGGGTGAAACTGACAAGCACTGAGATGCTCAGAGCTCAGGTGCAGGACGGGCTGGGATCAGCACCTATCCCGCCCCCTCCATCATGGTCCAGAACATCCCCGACCTGAGGGGATTCTTCCCAAGTCCTGGTGACGAGTGGTGCGTGGACTCCACGAGACCAGGTGATTCCTCGAAGTGACCCAGTCCGCGCAGGTCCAGGGGCCCACGGACCTGGTCACGCCCTACACACCCCACTGTGCTCCCAAGCAGCAGACACCACGGCTTCAGGGAGAGAATGAGAAAATGTCCTCACCGGCTCGATGATTGCTGGTTCTCCCTTTTGGCCTTTCTCGCCCCGAGGTCCTCCAATCTGGGGGTGATAAAAGGCAGATGGAGAGAGAATCGGAGAGAAAAGTGAAAAAGAAAGTCCAGATTACACAAAATCTGCCCAATTTCACAAGGCGAGGGCACTATCGCAGTCAGGCGTCTCCCCAGGCCCAGGAGGATGGCAGGAGCGTGACAGAGGCCAGGCCCATGGAAGCCCATGAGACTACTAATGAAGAAACAGGCCCGGAGGAGAGCATGCCGTGATGCACACGTTATTCAGAGCAAATTCGAGGCACTGAGGTCTCTTTAAAAATAAAGTTTTGGGAACAGCATGCAACACTTGAGCTGCCCGTAGAGC